CAATGAATCAATAATTATGCACAATCCCCCCAAAGATTCAGAACTGCCTTCCAGAAGATTAAACCTCTAACAATGTAGGGCAGAGGGTGTCAAACTGGCGGCCCATGGGCTGGATGCATCACACGAAACCACACCCACCCTAGCTCCGCAAAGGCAAAAAAAGGTCACGATACATCACGATACGATACATGACACGATCGAGTTTGACACCTGTGATGTAAGGGTTGAACAGCTACCAAAAAGGCCGGTCTTTCAATCCCCAACCCAGCCCCAGCTTCTCTTCTGGGTTCATTTATACGGGACATGCAGATTTCATCCAGGAGGGACTTAGAACTACTTTTATAAGCAAGCAGTTAATGATTCTAATTTTAGTTTAAACACTTCCATAATTTATTTTCTGTGGATAAAATAAACATAGTATGTGTGCATCTCTCTTTATCCCCCCTCTTCCTCAACTTATCTGATCAGTTGAATTTCATATGGACAATGCTGCTAAATAAATAAAATAAAACATCAACAATACATAAACTTTCATTGCAATCACCCCTTCAAACATTGCAATAGAATATTTTCTAGTCTTCTCAATTTATCTATTAAATGCCATCTGAAAAAAGACAAGTTTTAAAACATTTTCCCAGAAAGTCTGGAAGTCGAGTCATGGCAACTTCTTTCTTTTGGATTTCTTTTCTTTTTGGTTTGAAATGAAGAAGCTACTTCGATTAGCAGCAAAACATTTCAAACCAAAAACAAAAGAAGTCCAGTTGTTGTGACTCAACTTCCAGACAACTTTATCTGGATGACTGAGAATCTTCATCAACATTTTCCAGAATATGTTTTCCAGTTAATCTTTCTGGCAGCTTACAAAGTGAAGCTTCATAAGGTTATTTATAATTCAGCTCTATGGTCTAGGGAAAAACATCCAGGGGCTATCTTTTTTTGGTTCTCCCTTCCATTGGCATAACTATTGATTTCTGATTTGGATAGAAAATATTGCTCTCCCTTCAGCCACCACATGAAAATCTCCAAGGCTATTTTCTTTCTGACTTAATTTTAGAAGACGACAAAATAGGCATGGAATGAGGCTGTTTCTGGAACTGTTCCCTCAGCTTCTGATATGCTCTAAAAACTAGTATCTTATCTATCTTTCCTGATGTTGAGTGGCATCACTATTGTTTTTCTCCTGGCTTGTACTTGGAGGAAAACAAATACAAAATTGGAAAGGGGGCACTGGAGAAGAGGGACAAAATATGACTGGCACACCTTTATACTGTATCTGCCTTACCAACAGGAACCAGGCAAACAGTGGATGTTTTTAGAGGCTTGAATGCATATGAAAGCAGCTGCATGTGCCAAACACTCATGCCCATCCTATTGACAACAGAGAATTCTTTTATAGAATTATCACTTTCAGAAGAACTATACTTGGAGATGCATCAAATGACAGACCCTTTAACCTTGTTTTAAGAATACCGTATGTTGGCCATCATTTTTGAAGCATGATGACAGTTCTCTGCCCACAGTCTCTTTGTGCATCTGTTACACATTTAAAGAACACTTCTTTACTGAGCTATTTTAAAGATATTTAGGATTTTAAGAGAACATATGTTGTGGGGGTATGCCCGTGGGCAGGAATGCTATGCTTACCATGGCAAACAAAGAAAGATATCAGCACTTCAGCAGAAGTACATATCAGGGACTGGCCTTCAAGAACTTCTGCTACTATTTAGAGCAGTATTTCTCAACCTTAACAACTTTACAACGGGTGGTCTTCAACTCCCAGAATTCCTCAACCAGCCATCTTAAAGTTCCAGGTTTGAGAATCACAGATTTAAATGTTCAGATGAGTTGGATAAACAATGCAAAGTCATCCAAAGTTGAGCTGAATATGTGTCCACTCATTTTACACAAAAAATATGAACTTGGGTATAAAGTTTTATTGGGTAAAGGTTTGCTTGCTTACATCTCTATACTATCTCCAGTGGCAGGATTAGACAGTCTTCACGGTTATGAGTTGTTTTTTTTTAAAAGAACCTGAGATTGATTAAGTTGAAAATTAAAAATTAAAGAATATTGAACCTGGGTAGGTATTTTGAATATCTTTGAATACAATGGTGTTAAGGCTCCAGAAACCAAAAAATGGCAATCCACTCTTGCATAACCCATTCTTTTTAATTTTAGAAATATCATTTAGAGCAATAAAAGAGATGAGTCATTTGTGATTGCTATTGTTAAACAATAGGAAGTCAGAAATCCTGATGATCCATAGCAGGGACAGCCAGCCATTCCAGCTGGGCTGCCCTTTAATATTAATGTTATGTTACTATTAGTGGCTGAGGACTGTTACGGAAAGTGATAACGTAATGAAGTCTCCCTCAAACACTTAGAAGTGAAATGTGTCCATGTGTGGGGGATTGTGATTCAAGTTATGCTAAACTTACCCCAAAGCTTAATGCTGCTCTAATTTGCTTCAGAATATAGTAAAAATCATGTTTAATGGTTTGTTGTCAAGCTACCAAAGTTTCATGGTTTGTTCTCAAGCAGATAAATAAGGCCAGAAAGCCAAGAGTGATAATGCTTTCAGATTGAAGTCCCATATAGGTTCATAAGTCCCATAACCTTTAAATTCATCATGATATGGTACCAGCACAATGTGGTTGCCTTAGGATCTTTGGGGAATTAGGGCCATTTTTGAGATTGTACTGGCATGTGGAAAGAATACACCATAATTTGCCATGCTGGTCCGATGCAGGTTGGCAGGTGTGATTGGTGTTAGTCTGGGGTATCCTTCATGGCCTGTTCACTTTGGGAGACCTTTCTGCACACACACACACACACACACACGGATTAGAGAACAAACGAAAGTAGACAATGCCATCAAGAGAATAAAAGAATTGCAGTGGAAACGGGCTGGTCACATAGCAAGAAAAACTGATGGCAGGTGGACCAAGGCAGTGATAGAATGGATCCCACTTGATAAAAGGCATCCACCAAAGAAAACTAAAACAAGATGGGTTGATGACATCAGCAAGTATTGCAGGCCCAATTGGCAAAAGAAAGCCTGGGACTGTATAGGTTGGAAACATGCGGAAGAGGCCTTCATCCTGCAGTGGATAGATAATGGCTAAAATGATGATGGTGATGATGATGATATACGTGCACACACTCACTCATTCTTTCTCTCACACACACATTGCAAACCAGTATTGCCATATCAGATGCCACACTCTCAAACCAAGCTTACCTTTTGTAAATCCCCTGGACTCACTTATGGCAGCCATATAAATGAATAAATGAATGATCTGAAGTAAGAATGTTATTGGAAGGAATTAAAATCCTTAATTAATTAAAAAATGGCACTATGTTGAAATATTGTCTCTGTGTCTGGATAATCCCATCATAGGTGCAACCATTTAAGAAGATAATTCCATAAACAGTAAGCAGAACCATCTCTTTATCTTTGAGGTCTAAGCAATGGATAAAAGATTTTGTTGCATTTTGCCCTGCGCTTAGACAAATGCAAAGACAAAAGAAAAGAGGAGACCAAACAGAGAAGGAATCATTATACCTTGATCCCACTGCCATTCTGCCTGGTAACTGAATGAAGGCCCAAGAAACTTGGAACCAATGGAGGAATATTTATTTTGCATTAAGCCATTGCAGCTGGTATTTGTTTACTGACATGGATGTTAAAACCAACGTTTCTTGAGTCTTGCAAAACTTAAAACTTTTGCAACGTGAGTCTTTCTTGAGCAACACTTCCCAAGACAGAGATCATTGTAATGTAATCGTTGTCCTTCTTTTGCCTTTCGCTATTAATTTTGAAATAGCAATCCCCAAATAAAAATGTGGAATCTAATAAGTCCACTGTCTTTCTTGTGTTTTCTTTTGTTGCACTTGTATTTTGGTCTGTGACCGCAAAATAAAATTATTATTTTTATTATTAAGTCCACTGTGAATTGTTAAAGGCATAAAATTATACAGTGGTTTGCTGGGTTCAGTAATGGTTGAGGCAGCTAAACAGATTGATCATCTTTCCATAAACGAATCCAATTCTTACAATATTTGAGTGTCGCCTGTCCCTATGCTATCCTGATATCCTTTATCAGAGTTGCTTTATGTCATAGTAGCATTTGTCAAAGTTTCTGCCTTTTAGAAATACATTGATTCCTGACTTGTCTACCCCTGTTTTGTGCCACCAGTTTCATAAGCTCCAGAGAATTTTGATGCATGAAAAAAGAATTCATGGAGGCAAGATCTACAATGGCTGTCTCCAACCTAGTTTTTCCAGGTATATTAAAAATCAGTTCCCAAAATCCCCAGTTACATTTGGTCATGCTAGGTCAGGTTTAGAGGATTTGTTTCTTGAACATATCCAATGTCCCTTAGTATCAAGATTCCGATCAATGAGACCAAATAAAGCAGAACTCCAAGGCAGGAAAATTCCTAAAGAACATGTTTATTGGATACATAATATCGGCACGGTCAAAAGTGAAACCAGATCTAAAGTTTCCCTCCAAGAATCAAAGTAATACAATGTAACAATTCCCACCCCTCTACAAATGTAATAGAATGGCTTGGCGGGCTTTCTGACTAAACGACCCTCCTTCTCCCCTTCGGTATGGGAATGACCTTGGTTCCCACAAGATTTGCTCATGTTTAACTACCAGAAATAGCTTTTCCTCCTCCCTTTCTTGTGGCAACCTAGAACAACAAAAATGGCTGCAGCCAGGTTTGCCGTAGAGTTGACACTTAGATTTTTCAGGAGAAACTGGTAGTGATAGTAGTCGTAATCTGTTTCTTAAAGAGGGATGTCTGCAGGGTATGGTGGAAAAAACATTAAGATGACTGCCATAATGGTGACATCACTATCATGGCTGCCATATTAATTGTTTTTATTATACTCTGTTTAGAAGATCCCTTATTTTACAGAAACTTTTTTATTGTTATTTTCAACTATTCTGAGGAACCACAATGACTTCTGGGACTGGGAAACAAATGAGTTAAGAATGCAAATATTTTATTTATTGGTCACTCAAATTAATACATTTCATTAGTGATACATCATTTAGACTCATTTATTTTGACAATACAAAAGTTTCATGTTCTCTCTTTTTCCATTCAGTGAAGGCCAGGTCTCGTCTCCAAAATACTCAAAAAAAAAAAAAAAAAAAAAAGGCAAAGTGTTATATTTACAGAACAATGAAGCAATTAAATATGACTGCCCTTAAGGTGAAGGGCTGACTAAAGCCATATTTACAAAGAAATGTATTAGTTGATGTGCAGTATCACTTTCTGAAAATTAATTATAGATTAATGTAATTTTCTTTCAAGTCAAAGGTAATTGGTACTGAAAGGTTTATAGGGCTTGAGAAAATGAACACTTCCTGTTCTGGTTTCTGCAGTATAGCTGTACTTGCAGCTGGATTAATACCCCAGGCAGGTGCATAGATTCATAATATTGACTATTCTCAAAGGAGAATGTATGAAATCTATAACTTGTTTGAACCATTTTCTTTGATTTAGCTTTTAAAAGATTGTGTCTTCTATTTTGTAACTCAAAAACTAAAAAAAAAGAGGATATAAACTAAAAATACAAAATCTGTCATTCACTACTTCAGGTTACATGTCTGTATGTTTTGGCTGGGTTCAAGGAGATAATGGCCAGAATGCTTAATAGGTAGCAGATATTTGTGTCAACCTTTTTTTTTAAGGCTGATGTCTCATTTGATGTGGTTGATGTGGATTTTCAGGTAGGGCCTGTCTGGTGTAATGGTTAAGCACCAGATTAGAAACAGGGAGATTGTGAGTTCTAGTCCTGCCTTAGGCACAAAGCCAACTTGTGTCAGTCATTCTTTCACAGCTCTAGGAAGGAGGCAACTCCTGAGATCTTGTCAAGAAAACTATTCAGGAAGTTACAAGAACTAACTTGAAGGCACACACAATCCCCATCCCTACCTTTGGGCATAGATTATACTGACTGCCTTTCAAGAAGTAAGTTATAAAATTGGATCCAGATTGCCCAGTCCATTAATGGAAAGGAATCCAGAAGAAATACTTGATTGTGGAGGAGCTGGAAAGGTGGATTAGGATAGCATACAGGGGACTTCATTCTGAGCCACAGGAGAGTGGATGGTACAAATCTGACCATCTCCTCTTTCTATTGCATTATAAATTTAATTTGGCAAAAATTCTGGAGAGCTTCAGCAGCTGCATTTAAGATTTCTTCAGGTGACATGGCTTCTAGGCTCTCAGGCTGTGCACTGCAGAATTTATAGGTAGACCAGGCTGTCATATCTTCCCATCTTCCCATTTTTATATTTTAAAGAGAAACAAATACTAAAACTAGTGCTTTTCTGTAGCAATTCCAAACTTTTCAAGATATGAAGATTTCCTAGAATTTTCTAGACAGTGGAACTAATGCTAAGGATTTACAGAATTGAAATCCACCACAGTTTGCTTACTAAGATGGTGCAGCATTTTGAAAATAATTTGGAAAAGGTACTTTAGAAAGAAAATGCAGCAACTTTTGACAATTCTTTGAATCAGCCATACCTTTTTCCAGGATTGTTTGACTACCTCTGAAGTACCATTTGATCCTGGAAAAAGATGTTCCTATTTTAGAAGTTCTAGAACCAACTTGGTCTAGTAGTTAAAGTGCTGGTCTAGAAAGGTAGTAGCAAACCACTTCTGAAAATACTGCCTAGAAAGGAACTGAACTGAAAGCTTTGCACAGCCATGAACATCTGTTTATGTTCTTTATCCAGTCAAATCTATATGTTGATTTCCAGTCTCCAAAGTTGGTCCAATAATGAGATGGACAGCATATAAATTTAATAAATAAATTTTGGCTTGAAAATCCTATTTGAGCCCAGCCGTTTCCCTCTCTCAGAGAATGCATTCCATAAAACTATAGTTGATATATGCGAACTGGACATTTAATCAGTTAAAATCATTGGTTAGGTTAATCTTTTAATTTACTGTTGCAAAGTGTCAGCTTTAGGATAATTACAAAGCCTCCTAACAAATTAGCCTCTGTGAAACATTAGAACAGGAGTGTCAAACTGCCGGCCTGTGGGCCGGATGTGTCACGACTAAACTGCGCCCACCCCATTGCTGGCAATGGAGAAAAAGCTCCAATACGTCGCGCGGCATCATGTGACATTGCAAGTGTGACATGTCTGCATTAGAACAATTTTAATTGTTACAAAACAATATTTACAATTAACAGGGTTATTTGAAACTCTTAGCCATTATTCCAAAGTGACACAGACCTACAAGCCAGCCCAAAAAGTTGTTGGAAAGGACTTTTGGTTCAACAAAGCACACAAAAGCATAATGATTTAAAACACAGCAGAAAATAACAAACTTGATTTTGACCTGTATCTCTGGGATGATTATAAGGATGCCTGTCTGCTTTTTTTTTCCCTTTTGTTTGAGATGTTTATCCTTAAATCATCTGACCAGTGTGAAAAGTTTCCTCTGCAAATTGATTGTCTTCCATATCTGTTTATCAGGCCATAGTAGCTCTTCTTGTCTCACGTGTAGTTTTTAACTAGAGCTATAAGGTAAAAGTAGGTCTACTATCAGTGAAGGTAAATGATTTTAGATTCTGGGTTTAGTAGCTTTGTTTTAAAGGCAGGGGAAAATGCTCTTTTGATAATAAAGCATATTACCTAATTCGTTTCAAAATTCATTAAAGCCAGTTTGCTCTGCTGGAGCTTCTCCTTCTGAGTCTGGTGTTAGAGTTTTGCCCCAGAGTCCTGCCTTAGTGGCACTTGTAGATAGTATAGATCAGGGGTGTCAAACTCGCAACGTCATGTGACGTGTTGTGACGTGTTGCGACTTTTTTGCCATTGCCGGCAATGGGATGGGCGCAGCAATTTGACACCCCTGGTATAGATGGATACCCAAAGACTTTTAACTTCTTTCTAAATTTAATAGATGTATTGGGAAACTTTGTCTGCAGCTTTGAAAGTGAGAAAAGGATCTTACCTTTTGTAGTTTATAACAGCAACATAAGAAGCAAACATTCCAAAAGGCCATTCCTGGTTCACAACAGATTAACCACTGATAGTGTTGGGCCGTTTTATTAAATAACATACCACCCAAAACATGATATATAAACAGAATCTCCTCTGAACTGAACTCAGGTCCAGATGACTTTATGGGCACAATTAAGTTTTGATCTTGACAACAGTTAGAAATTGTCTTCTGCATGGATGTTTTCCTAATCTAGCCAATAAATCTGGGATTCCCTTGTAGTTTCCCATCCATGTCCTAACCAGGTGAAGCACAGCTTAGCATTTTAAGACCCACCAATGTCAGCTAGGTGCTGCCATCTAGCTGGGTGATAAAACATAACAGATCAGAAAACAATATCACGTATAGTGAATTGTTAAAGTTACCCATTTATATCTCTGAATGTGCACATACATTATTAAATTTTTTATATTATTCAGTCCATAGGAGTAAATGGAGCTCATTGACAGAATATATGACTATATAGTACAGTCAATATGAAAAAGAAACAGAACCAAGAATTCTAGCTCTTTCACACTTTTTCAGAAGTGTATTGGATTTTCTTCTGAGGAAGGGCAAACAGAATAATGATCACTAGTTGCCTTTCATTTCTGCCAAAATTTGTCCCTCCGCAGATCTGCTAGTAATAAAAATTTTAAACCGATCTTTAGCAGGACTCACAGCATAATCATTTTACATCTCTACTTATGAGGAGAAAATAAATCAGATGCCCTACATGAACTCTTACTAAATCATAACTTGAGTTATAAAGTTGTACAAAGACTTTGGGAAAATAAAAGTGAAGACAAAGGACAAATATCTTAAAAGTTGGGGGGTCAAATATTTTGTTTTTAATATTAAAGTTCTAAACAGTTGGAGGTAACCACTGCCCCCCCCAAAAAAAAATACACAACCGTCTTCGCATGAGATGTGTTGAAAAAAAGCTGGTTAATAATGCTTTCATGCATCAAGACTCACGTTTATAGCAGTATTCTTGGACTCAGCCCTACTGAGCTCACCACCTCTTGAGAAAATAGTTTCCAGAACTGCCCAGGCCAATGACTAAAATTGTAGCTCCTCAAAACTCTTGAGACTGGAACAAAATCACTTTGTAGATGGTGAATGAGGATTAATATTGCAAGGTTCAGTGGCAACAGGCCTTGTAAACGATAATTGATTCATTTTTGGAAACAACTGCTTTCCCAGAAGGCCGTGAGAAAAGGACTACATGAGGAAACCAGGAGCCACCCATTCTGTAACCTTTACAGCATGTGTTCATGTTCAGAGACAGGTCCCTTGTTCCACGGGGATACCTATAAATTACGCACAGGAGTCTGTATAGACGTCTATGGAGACATATGGAGACCTTGTGTTCCCAAATCATTCTTTCCCTTCCCCCTTATAATTTACTGTGATTCCCTTGTTGCTGTCTTGTCTGGCTATTAATTTACCAGAGGGAGTATTCTCTTGATTTATTTGTTATGAAACCTGAATAGAAGCTTATTAGAAGCTATTTGGATTTTTTTTTTAAAGTGATGTTCATTTGAAAGAGTGAAGTAAGGTTAAAGAGCTTAACACACTGCTAGCTATACACATATGCTCCCCAGTTCAAGAGGACTTTCAGCAAATCAACTCGACAACTGCATTAAAGGTCATAAGAGGTAGGTGACTGATGGTGGCATATAGTCTTTCCAGGATATCAAGACAATCTAAAGCACAGTTCCTCTGCATGTTTACTAAAATGTTGTTCTGCATTCAATGGACAGCAGTCCTACATGTGTTCTTAGGTTTGCTGCCTAACAGCAGTATTACATATTTGGGAGCATTGTGGATTTTACCACTTAAAAGGAACCATTTTGAGGAGAATATGAATGTTGGAGCAAACAAGAGAGTTTTGTGGCCTTAATAAAATTATAGTGGAGCTTTTAGTTCTTCAGTTCTACAAAACCACTTTTTATAGTTTCACCCTTGGCTTTCATTTATGATTCTATATTTTATTATATTTTCCCTATTTATTTTAAATTGTTCTGAATATGCTTCATGTTGGGAGGAAGGAAGGTATGATTTAGTCTGTCATCTGAAATGTATTTAGGTTTGCAGCTTAGGCTGACTACATTAATAATACTATTC